TTTTAGACTCTCAGAAAACGTGCAGGAGAAATGAAATGCGAGTTCGAGATCTCTGTATGGTCCCAACGAATATTATAGAACCTTTCATAGACGCGTTCCATATGTTAAACCCTCCTTGTTTTTTGGTGTTAATAAATGACATACCGAAGAAGGTGTCACAGGGGAACAAATCGGTTCCCTTCCGGTAGAAAACACTTGCTTGAACATGGGCTGACCCTCCAAACTCTGAAAAATTCCAACGTACCTCTTAATTAACTGACAGTTCCCAGGGCCGCGTAGGTGCGAGGGCTGCTATGATAAGGATGCATCTGAAGAGATCCACTTGTGCTTTCTCAGCAAAATTCGGGGCTTTTGTCTTCAGCTGAGCCTTTTGGATCGCACCTATTCTGGGCAGAGTCCCCACTATCATAGCGTCTTTCTCCGCGTTTTTTATTCATGAAAGTCAATTTTATTTCCTCTTGAGCATTCCGGGGCTAAGCTCCTTTATGTTGTTTGTAACTCTGGCTTATGTCTTTCTGATATAGTCCGTTGGCTGGAACCAAAACATCAAACAGATGATGTATCCGACGTTGACCAAGCCCTTCTGGGGTGCGCCACGTGTTCCGTTAGGATTGCACAAGCTCGGTGGTGCGAGCCGGGCCACCTATACTATGACTAGTACAGGCCAGCCGATACAGAATTCAATATTTTCCACACAGACGAGATGAAAGCCCTCCGAAGTCGGTTTTTTGAAACCACGTTCTACTGGATGGCCCGGACGGGGTTTGAGCGGGAGTTTGACCGCCGATTTGCGCGCATTCTAAGTGGCAATATACAACACGGATTAATAAGCATGGAGAGAGCATTTGAAGGACTCTTAGTGCACCATTGGGAACAACATCGTCCAAATAGAAGTATAGTCCTTTAATTTGGTTTGCGTCCTGGAGCTGCTTTCCTCGGGCTCAGGTGCAACTCGCCATATTCGTTGCGGGGAATCCCAGAAGTCCTCCAAATGCATTCACTGGTTGTTGAAGTCTATGGCTAAAAGTTAGCGTTAGTTAGCGAACAATTCCACCAAATCTGAGTAGAGGCACCGCAAGCGCTATGGTACTTGTACTTTACCGTGTACTGGTGCCAACACTTATCCGGAAAGCATCGCGTTTTTGGCTTAAGTCTTTCTATGGCGACACAAGGAAGGGGCTAAGCGAACTATTTGCGTGCTAGAGATGTGTTTTTTTTGATACATTTGTTTTTTCTCTTGTAATCGCTCCTTTTAGTCACATCAGCATTCTCATGATGAGACTATCATTCAAGTTCCTTCTCATCATTAGTCAAATCGGACACCAAAAACGGCGTAGATAGCCGAAAACTCATCAGTTATGGATGACCTTATTAGCTAATTATTTGGTGATTATTGAATGAAGGAGGCCAGGCATGAGGTGTTCGGTAGGGGCGAGAAAATGAGGGTATCGGGTGACATCCGAGATGACTGCTTGACTGGCAGATGTGGGCGATTTTTCCGCAGCTTCCCTCAAGCAAAGGACATTTCAAGCTTCGATGAACTACAGGGCAGCAATTAGCATTGCATTCACCCAATGGAGTTGAAGTTGGCGGAAAGGACTTCACGGGTTTCTCCGTGTCCATAAGTTGGTTGCTTAGGTGCCATACATACTTATATTTTACAAAAATCACTCCAAATTACCCAATCTATTACGGATCAAAGTTTAGACCAGTTCAAAGCAGAAGAGGACTCATTCGTCATGCAAGTATGAGGCGTTGATGCTCTTTAATAGTCCAATCAAGAATCTATGGATCCCAGTACCCATTCCTATTTCAAGCTTCCTGATCAAAGGGGGACTGCAAGGGCTGAGGTATAAATCGTTGCTGGAGTCCAAAGACTAATGTCAGCAGCAACTTCTGCGTGGGATCAGCAAAGCATACTCTGCTCACGATTCTACGTATCAGTTTCAGGATCCTGTAAGGATGAAGTTATAATTTCTCCACCTTGATCAATCCTCTTTCGGGATGCGGCACGCATTCTACTTCCATTCAGAATCGTAGTGGCTTACTGAATGCGATACGGCCCATGCAAGTGACTTGCGAATGTCAGCCGATGTACAAGTCTGGTACCAGTTTACGTCCCCTCGGAGCAGAAGGCTTGGATGACCTGGGCGGGAGTCGGTTCGTGTTTTGACCCCGGACCGCGCGCGTGCTAAGCGTGTCACTTCCGCCTTCAAGGAATCCCGTGCGAAGAGGAAATTACTGCTTTGTATATCGGGCGAGCCCTGCAAGTCATTTCTGTGGAACAGTTTGCATTCAAACGCAGTTACAATCCGACTGGATGCCGAGTGCGTGGTGTAGTTCAAGAGGAGCTTTCGCAACTAGGCGTTCCACACTTTATCGCTTTAATTGGCCTAAATTGCCGTTTATGGGTTCACCGTACAGCAGATCTGTCGCAGTAGTTAATTAGGGCGACGCTGCTCACTGGGTCGAGTAAGAGGTGTAGTGGCATCAGTCGGTTAGTTTTATCGGACGGACTGCAAGAAGTTCTTATATGACCGGGGATTTTTCATTATGCTAATTGATTGAAGCGCCAAGGAAAGCAACGCGCTTGAGAACTCAGTTTTTTTGTGAAGACACTACTACTTGCTCTTACTCACTTATCAACATCCATGGAGCTCGTCTGCAGGGGGGGGGGGGTAGCACATTTGCAAATGTAACTTTCTGGAACTATTCTTCAAGCTTTTTGAAGTTCGTACAGATCTTCACTCCGCTGAACGTTTCAATGGAATCAAGCTAAATAAAGTTCTGTACGAACTTCGGAATGATCAACAAGTAGTCTGAAGATTTCAGCGTGGACAGCCAGTAATGAAGTAAAGCCAGTCCATCACCAGCTCAGCTAAAGTGCACCTTAAACGGCAAAAAGGGCGATGTTTGGCTTGGGAGGGGCATTTTGCATTTCCGCTAGTTTCTTCTACTACATAGTTCCTGTCAAGCTACACGTCACACTACGTTGAGACCCATAGACTCTTGTCAAGTGTGAACAAAGCTTCTGCTTTTTCGCAGCTTTATAGGAATTCGCAGGTCCCTGTCTTGAAGGCATGGGTACTGATCGACGAAAACTGAGAAAATGTTCCTCCTTCCTTCGCCCCCTCCCCCAAGAAAAAACAAACTGCGTTTCAAACTAGTCAGTGCAAAAAAATCTCGGCAAGATAATCGCGCTATCTTCCCTTCGTTATAGGATCGTCGACGATGGTGTACAGTCTATATCTCGAAGATGAAAGGGGTGTGGCTGCGCATTTCATATCAACATGGCGTATGCAGTGTTTTTCGTGGGGCATTTCCATGTGACACAGCTGTCATTCCGTCGTGTACTGAGCAGAGGCATGAGTGCCAGTTGTTCCAAATGGCAACATTCTACCAAGAGCGCAACAGGGCACATCCAAGTCCAGCACGCAGCCACGCCCATTCTATCTCCAAGATGTGAAGTGCACCTTATGACCCCCTTTTTGCAAATATGTATGTCAGAAACCGTAAAACCCAGGATAATCAGATCATGGTGAATATCGGCTTAGCTAAAATATTGGCAAACCTTTTTTCCTTGCTTATCTTTTCATTGTGATTTGTATGAAGCGGGTGGAATGTGAGAGTTCAAGGATAAACATTGGGAAAACGGTTCATGTGCGCACCGCCTGGAGTTCCCATCCTGTTTCCGATCACTCCTAATTCGCTTTGAAAGGCCCGGTTTCTTCAATTAACTTATTCCTTTGTTGGCTCTGATCGATACTGTCCGAGAGTATTCGACATATTAGTATGATGGTTTGACCAGCCGGGGAACGAGGCGACGCTGTTCGGACTGTATTCGGACGGAGTCGACGGTGACGAGTTCGTGTGTCAATAGTGTCTGAAGAGCCATGCACTTTCAATACCATCAATAACCACTTCAATCGATAGTATTCCTTCGAATTCTTTCCAGTCTTGCAAATTCAATGAGTTTCTCAGTTGAGAGGGACAGGATGTCCTTATTTCCAGAGAAGCTGTCTACGGTAGGGTTCTGTGTATCACGAGAATCGAAGCGGAGCGCCAGAAAAGTACATGAGAAGTATTCCGTAAGCCGATTTTTTGAGGGCATGAAAACACCAACGCGGACATTGTCAGTGATGTACATCGAATTATAGCCGTGAATAGAGCGTGAGAGATTCCCATTGATAGTAAGGGTAGAAACGAGAAAAAGACTCTTTCGGAGGTGACCACCCTCACTTCTCTCGTCGTTTTTTTCTCCACGATTCACTGCTGCAGTGTTCGCTTCGCTTTCTCACCGGCGAACGGATACCAGTCTACCTAGGACGATGGGGAGGGAGAGGTGGTTAGTTTCTCACATGCTGAAATTGAACCAGCAATGGGAGAACAAGGTACAACGACAGTTCTTCGTAGTGTGCGTGATTTCCTTTTCGTTGGGAGACACAGAAGAATGAGCCCTGCTGTTATCACAAGAATGCTGAGTTGTGGGCAAAAGTCGTGCCCCAGGCGGGAGTCGAACCCGCACCTCACGCTGTTTAACGCCGCAGTACGCGTTCCGAATGTTATCACGCGTACTGCGGCGTTAAACAGCAGTTATCATAACAAAACAGCTTCAAAAACATCTAAA